AAATCCACGCAACACAAATCGACGAAAACGTCTTCTTTCGACTAAACAACGTCGAGTATTTTTGGGCCTTTACAACGCAATAGTAGCGATTTATTGACGCCAGCGCCAGAATGGAAGTTGATATCTGACCCCATAAAGCTGCAACAAAACCAGCAAATTGGCAAAAGTTATAGTGGAATGGCCACCTGCGCAATCCTGAAGCAAGTGTGCTTGAACAACCTACAAATACAGCCAGTATTAAATCAGCGATGGCCAGTGAAAGGACGTAGAAATTGGTGACTGTACGTAACCTCCCGTTTCGGTAAAAGGCGAGGCAAACAAGAGAATTTCCTGTAAGTGATAAAACGGTTGTTAGAGCGAGAACAGCAGTATGCATAGTGACCTCTTGTAGGCTTCTCGTATCTAATTCGAATTCTTCCTGTTGCATAACGCTGTTATAATGCATGTAAAGCGGTTTGGATATGCGTCAGATTATGGGGATCGTGTCTTAAATACGATATATGGACGTGACTGCTGCTATTGATTTAAATAGCCTTATTCGCAATTCAATAATTATTACCGAGTTGTCTAAAGCACTACTGAAAAGTGCAAATATTATTCCTGACATTTTAGTGAAAGCAATCACTGAAAATAAACAAAACCCTTAAAAGTTAGATGGAGTTCATCTGCTCGCTACTGTCAGATTAGGCATGTTGACTTATATTTTTTTCCCAAAACAAATGAAATAAAATGTCTGGTCTTTTCTCCACATCCGTTGTCCAAATAAAAGTCCATTGTTCACAGTTTTTTTGTTGTATGTCCCCAACTAAAGGTAAGCCTTTATCCAATTTCCTATTTCTAACAAAAACTTTTATTAAACACCGATATCGTTGGCCATAGGAAAATAGGGCGTACAGTTTTCAATAATAGTCATATCGACATGTGTAGTAGTTTACCATCTTTAAGTACTAAATTGAATTGCCGCATATTTAATATTCATTCAAATAGTCTTTTTTTAAAATGGTACACTCCGTTCATTCATCACTTTACTTATGAATTTTACGTCAAAGCACTTCTATTTTACCGAACCAAATTTCCAGTTTTTTTCCATTTTTAGCTACTGAGATCCTAGGGCGCTTATCAAAAGTCAGAACTGGGGCCGGATCAGTCTTTTCTCGAAATTTCCCTGAAGACCCACCACTGCCGAGCATACCCGTTATGAATAGAATGATCTGGCTGAATGCTAGTGATTAAAAAGAGGAATTCTCTTTACATCTTGACCGGTCTAGCAGGCTAGTTATAACTTATGGAAAGCGCCCTTAATCGTTTGTATATCGTTAATGCACACAATTATTGACTCCAAAGGGTGTAGTCCTTATTGTTCTATTTTCTACATTCAACAGTGCCCTGCAAACTTTTTCCATGGTCTTTCACTGGGGTGCACAAAAAACTGGGTGCCTCAATTTGAAGTTCGCCTTGGGAGCGACAAAACGAGTACTAAGTAGCCTGCGAGCACGCTCAATTGTCCAAATTCGGGGAAACTTTCGGTGGCGGAGCCGTTCCCCACCGTTGGTGGCTCCGCCGCAAACATTTTCCCCAAATTTGCCCAAGTGAGCCCGCTCGCAGGCTAAGTACAGAGCGAGAGAAACAATGTGGCCTCTTCAAGTTCAGTTATAAATTAAATGCGAATCGAATGCTTCCAACTCCATAACCCTTGGATAATGCAGGTCAGGCGGTTTGGACTTGTGACTATAAACATTTCAGGTCAGATTAAGGGAAACGTGCCTCAAAGGAAGCATGTACGTGCATTGCTATTGAATCACCTGGCCTCACTTTTCAATTGTTCTTATTCGGCCAAGCACCATTAACAAAAAACAAACTAACGTTATTCAAAGTTCTCTACCATCTTTGCATACTAATTTTGATTTGTTGCATCAGGACTTCATCATAGCTTGGATTTGCTACAAATTAAAAAAAAAACAACATTAGCAGTATGTCACGTCCATTCATTACTTAATTTAATAAATTTTTCGTCAAAACAGTTAAATTTTTATTAGACCACATTTTCAATATTTTCACTATTAGCTATATCTATCTCCTTAATGTATGCAATAGTCACGTACAGGTGCTAATACAATTATTAGAGCCAGAATACTGTCAGCAGGCTCAGTGAGCTACGCTTGTAGACTTGTATCTAATTCGAGAGCTTCCTGTCACCTGACGCTAGAATAATGGAGCCAAACACTTTGAATTTTCTGCAATTGTAAGGATTTCACTTCAAATTTGGGGGAAGGTTCCTTAGAATGAATGGACGCGCATTGTTATTGAATCACCTTGTGTTCGCCATTCAATTGTTTTTATTGGGTTGTTTAAAGCACTATTCAAAAGTTCAAATAACGTCCCTTGCCATTTTATTAAAAGTAAATACTGCAAATAAATAAACCCGACCGGAATGGATCATTATCCTAAGAAATTGCCCACCTACCCCTCCCCTAAGCGAACACTTACTTTTCACTTTGGGCAAAATGTTAGCTTAGGGGAGGGGTAGGTGGGCAGTTTCCCGGAAACGTAGAATGCTTCAGTTAGGGGTTGATAAAGTTTTTTTTTTAAAAAACAAGCGCGATAAAAATATATGCGTTGTCTAAATACAACTCCATTGTCCACACTTTTTTAATGTATGCCTTTAAGTGATGCTTTGATCAGATTTTTATCTCTTTTAATTTTTTTTTTAATACCGCACAAAAGATGTTGGATGATCACAAGATAAGGCAAAAAATAAATAGGCGATTTTAAAGACATAATTCCTTTTCAGTTACACCGTATTTTTTTAAAAACCAGGCAAAACTATTAAGTAAAAAACAAACTAATGTCATCAATACATGAAGTACTGCCCTCTCTGCGTACTAATTTTGGACTATTTAATATATCACGTTTAGTCCGAGTTACTTAATTAAAAAAAAATTTTAAGTCAAACATTTCAATTTTTATTCAACCAAATTTTTAATATTTAGCAATTATTTGATAGGGCTAAGTTTGATTCGAAGAATTACAATGCCGATCGAGGTGTTAGTAACACCCAGCAAGACTCTTTGAGATCTGCATAATTCTTCATATCATAGGAAAACCGACTCCAAAAATTGTAGTATCTTTTATTCACAATAAATATTTTCATCTCACCCAAACGTGCTTACCGCGGTCTATGTAAAGTTTCCGCCTTTATAACCGTTTGCCAGTTACCGGCAGTTTCAGGTTATTAATAGATATTTATTGTAGCAGACATTCTTCAAATAGCAGTTGCCATCCTTTGAGTGGTATCTTTGTCATTCTTGCTGTTTCTAGTGGCAGATCCAGACCTTCAGATAAGGGGGGTGGGGGGTGTGGGGGGTGAGGGGTGGGATGGGGGCCCCCCGGTGGGGGGTTCCCCCGTGGCGGGGAACCCCGGACCCCTCCTTGGGATCCGCCACTGGTTTCTAAGCAGTAGTTCGGCTATTTTTGTTTTGGTACACGTGCAGGGCTGTTGTTTTGCTTTCTAAACCAATGATATTTTAGACGTTTCCTTTTACGAACCCACGGCTTCTATATGGAATTCCCTGCCAAGTATTTGAAACACGTACATCTACCATCAATTACGTATATTGTGCATTTTGCAGTCAATGTACACGCCTTAATAATGATCTGTAGCTCATGACAAAATGAATAAATAAGAAAATAAACTGGTTGCCTCAGGACCAGTTATAAAGTAGAGGTATAGGGCGTTTTCACATGACGTCATGGGTTCACGGCGCCTATATATACTTTTAGTAAAATCCAACTTGTGGCCTATTATCAATGCTGCGTCCTGATTGGTTGAGCTACTACAAGGCTATATGTTATAGCCCACTAGTAGCGAAAAGCGCGGGCTTTTTGGCGGCAAAAAAGGATTAAAGTCTAGCTTTAACTAGCTAAAAGTTTTTTATTCTCGATATTTTTGACCAACTCGTTGGATTTTACTAAAACAATCATTTCCTCTCGCCCTTATGGCCTCTGGGTCAATAGCCCAATCGGCCTTCGGCCTCATGGGCTATTGACTCAGAGCCCATTCGGGCTCGAGGAATAATTGTTAAATAGTTTAAAAACTTAGTTTTCCTTTCCACAACGAATCACTTTCAGAAATTATTTTCTCATGGCCCGATTCATGGCACCATATATAATAGGGTTTATCCACGAACTACAGGCAGAAGAAAGTGTATGAATAGACTGCCAAAAGGGTGGTATGCCTCGATGAGCTAGTTTTTCTAAAATGACGACTGTTGTCGCAGGAATCCAACAAATGCAAAATGCTACAACTGCAGCCAGAAGAATCCACGATCCCTGGATCTCATGTTTGCTAACCATTGCTCTTTGGCTGTTTGCCTGTTGCAAGAATGGAATAACGAGAAAATTATGGCGTCTAATGACCTTGTATACGCGTCCATAGCAAACGAATGTTACACATGTAGGGAGAAAAACAAATGGAATGTCAAAATAAAAGCTTCCACCGGGCCTTTAAAATCCGTCGCCTGACAAAACAAATAGTAAGGATGCCATCGGAATAAACTACCTGTAACGATTATCGCAGCCAAAAATGTGCATAAAATAAACAGTATCACAAAGATAATTGATAGAATGGCTCTCTTCTTTGTGAAGAAGACAGAATAAAAGTGAGGATTTACTATGCAGCGGTAACGGTTGACAGCTGCTAACGCCAAAATGTTAATGGACACCGTAACCCAAAGATAAGATGTGAAACCATTAAACTGGCAAAGGATGGAACCGAATGACCACCTGCGCAAGGCCGATGCTATTGCGTCCATTGGATACACAGAACAAGCGAAGATTAAGTCAGTTACGGCCAAAGAATATACATAGCAGTTAGTAACGGTGCGTAATCGCCTGTTTCGATGGAAAGCCAAGCAAACCAGGATGTTACCAATGACAGACAGAAGCGCCATAAGAGATAAGCTTAAAGTGTGTATTGTAACTGTTAGTAGCGTTCTTCTATCTCCGCTTTCTTACATCGTAGTTGATTTTTTATAGATAGTGTAACCTTTTTCGGATTATGTATTGAGTGCTTTCGTTGCATATATCGTCTCCGCCGATAACCGTGTAATCCAAATTCATAACTGACTGTCAAAATGTTTTCCAAAAAAAAGCCTGCGTGCCTTGTTCAAATAAAGCTGAAATTGATTTTCAGGAGGGATAAGTTACACAAAATAGTTTTTATTTAAATTGGCGAAAAATTAAAGACAACGCAGAGGGTGCAATTTAATTGAATTTAACTTTCTTTATCACCATTAAAAGCCTTGACAAACAAATGCTGCCAATTAAATTTAAAAGGAGACCTTAAGCTTTATTTCTGCCAATTTTTTTTAAATAATAACCGTGCAACCGTCCTTTATCAATTAACAAGTTAACGCACGAATATCGTTAACAAAGCTAGCCTGCGGTTTGACGACGTAAATACCTCCAACAAATTCCAAAAGCAGAGATTAGAAACCGGGGGGGGGAGGGGACTCCGCATATGAAAGGGGTGGGGATGCTTGTTTGAAATGTTGAATTAAACCCCTAAAGGAGACCGATCTGGGCGGGGCCCAAGCTTTTAAGAGACCATGTTAAAACACAGACAATATGTATATATTTTTATATTTTTTCGCGTGCAACCCTAAACGAGACCTTCACGGCTAAATATGATGACGTTTTGCTCAGAACATCCTAAGTGAGACCAAAATCCGAAATTTATACCCCTAAGCGAGACGACGAGCATCCCCAGCCCTTTCATATAGGGAGTCCCCCCGGGATTATAAACTATGATAGTTCTCCTTATACTGATCATGAAGCCCAACCGTCGTTTCTTTGTCTTGCGATTGAAAAAATTTAAATTCACGATTATTTAATTTTCAATTTTTAATTGAAAAAAACCCTCAATGGAACGACGGACTCTTCATGTCTCTAATTTTGCCGGCAGTAAACATACAGCATTTTCGCTCGTGCAGTTTCGTAAAGCATTTAACCATTGTACGATGTAGTGAGATATAATCACTGGAAGTTCAGTGGATGAATATTTTTCAAGTGATTTATTCCCCCCCTCCCCTCCCTTCCCTCCTTTGGTAGTTCTCCTGATGGTTATCTTAATTCTCTCCGTTTTCCAGTTTTCCCGTGTTTCTTGTGTGTTTTGGTTCTACTGGGTTTCGTTAGTCTTTAGTTGTCTTCGTCCCATCGTTTTCCACCAACATTATAAAATACCGTATTTCCTCGAACAATAGCCTCCCTCGAATAATCGCCCCCTTTGACGGAAATATTTAAAATAATCGCCTCCCTCGAATTATCAACCCCCTCCAACCAATATCGATACCCACAGCGGTAAATCTGGAGGATGAGGCTGTCAAGAGGAGTCTGATCCAGCAAAACTGGTCAGTGACGAAGCCGAAATATTGACAATGAAAATTAATGAAGGAACCAAATTTGGAACACTTAAAAAGCCCATGTTCAGTTTCTTTGATGCGATTATTTTTTGATTATGGGAAAATAGAACAAAATATTTAAAGCACGACCTCCAGTGAATAATATACGAAATAATCGCCTCCCTGAAACAATCGCCCCCTTTTGGTGCGAAAAAAGAGAAAATCGCCCCCGGCTATTATTTAAGGAAATACGGTATATAAGCTGCGCAGACTCAAATATTTACTGACTTGATATCACTTTTTCTTTTTCATCTCCTGCGGTCATTTTAAGGTTGGATTTGATGCTGGGTCAGTTTTCTGTCAAAGAGGTACAGCCATTCAAAAACTCCAAAATGGCTGTATCTCGTTCAATATAGGCCCGATATACACCAAACTTGAGATTGTTGCTAATTTCAATGTGCTCTTTCTTTTTTTTATTTTTCTTTACTTGTCAAACTTTTATTAAATACTGCACAGCATTACAATACTAACGTTCCATGACATTGCATGATATTACATTACAATAAATTGCAAATACATTACATTACATTACACTATGAACTTTAACGGTAAAGTAACTATACAAAAAAAAAAGAAACATACGTTCTAAGTGCAGATGACACTGGGGTACAGAGTCCAAAGGCAAAGCCCACTTGTTATTAAATTTATCCATTTTATTAGTTTTAACACATATGTACTTTTCTGTTTCATACTTAATTTTAACCTTGGATGAAAAGGCAGTTATGATTTCTTCTACAACCCCACAAGTATAGTTTAGTGATCAGTATCAAATAATTCAGTAAGGGGCAATTTGTATATAATATTCCTGTAATAACGTCTTGTAAAGTCAGACAGATGAATTCTCTTGTCAATGTGTAAAAGTAATATTGAAATTCCTTCCAAAACTGCTTGGTGTGTCTGCATTCGAAAAAGATGTGGTAAAGGGATTCCGAATCCGTTTTCTCGAATTCTTTCTGACTATATGGGTCTCGTGTTGTTTATCCCATAATAAAATGACTCGTACCCATTCCCTCTCGATTTGAAACTAGGCAATGGCAAAAGAACGAGCGAACCAAAGAAATCAATGACGAGTTCATTAAGTTCATTAAGTCATGATTGTTAACTACTGAAAACTTGGGTATCTATATCTATTTTCATCTCCATCGCACTTATTTCTGTAGTTTTTTGTGCCACTTGTGTGCATAATTATTAAAAGAGATAAAGTATTTTCAATTTGGAGCCGCTAGCCACAACGTACTTTGTCTCTACAAGAAGATTCTGTTCGTAGAACTGAAACAATTAATAATAGTTTAACTGATGTTGTGAGTTTAACTCATGTTGTGTGCTTTCATCAATTTCGCTTCTGGCAATGCAGAATTTTAATAATCTCCTTCCTCATGGCCCGACTCATGATGACATAAATAATCGGGTTGATCCACGAAGTACAGGCAAAAACCAGCGTGTCGAAAGATTGCCAAAAGGACAGAACATCCTGCCGTGCGACTCTTTCTATGGTGCTTACAACTGTTGCTGGAATCCAACAAACAAAGAATACTAAAACTGCAATTAAAAGAATTCGAGACGCTTGGATCTCGTGTGAGTTAATATTGTTAGCTTGATGGTCCCTTGGTCCTGTAAGTGACGGAATAATGGCCGAATTGTGCCGTTTTATGGCAAGGTAAACGGCAGCATAGCAAAATAAGGTCAAGCTTATCAGCGAGAAGGTATAAACTGTGAGGATTGTTGAAGTAGGCGCTGGCAAGGTTTCACTACTTTCAATTTGGCAGAATAAATAATAAGGGTGCCACCGGAATACCAGAGGCGTTGCAAAGGTAAGAGCTAAACCCCCTGTAAGGGTGCACAGCCACACCAATATGATAGAACGAGCCGTTTTCTCTCTTGTGAACAGGATGGAATAAAAACGAGGTTTTATGATGCAAAAGTATCGATTCATAGCCGTAAGCGCCAACATGTGGATTGAGGCAACAGTCCAAAAATGCGAAAGAAAACCATTGAATTGACAAAAGTTATGGCCGAACGGCCATCTTCGTAGCCCCGAGGAGATGGTGTTGAAAGGATATCCAAACGAAGCCGCAATCAAGTCTATCAAGGTTAAAGAGAGAACGAAGAAATTAGTGATTGTGAGCAGCCTCCTGTTGTTGTAAAAAGCGACGCAGATTAGAGAATTCCCTGTGAGTGATAGAAGTGTTGTCAGGAACCATGTAATGGTGTGCAATGTCACTGTTGTCACGGTTCTTTTGTCTTCGTTGACACTCATGATTGACTAGAAAATGGTTTCTTCGTAAAAGAACGTTAAAAGGATAAAACCAAAGCACTATCGTTTCAGTCAATGTTTCAGCAGTAATTTAAACTCGTCGAATTTACCGAAAAATATGTTTTTTGTAATAAGAAAGTAGTCTTGGAATATTCGATGGAAACTGCACAAATTAGAAAGGTAGATGGAGCTCTATAAATTACGTTTTTGATGTCAGCGGCTGCTACTTCTAGTCGCCTATTCTCACCGAATCATTTTTCTTTCAAAGTTTTAATACAATGAGACTACTTTATCAATTATGTATAATGCGGAGCGGAAACGTTTTGAAATTTTTAATACGGAAGTTTTCTGAAACTTGAAATTTGTGAGATTAAACCGAAACAAACGACAACTTTAATTGCTATTTGGACAAAGCAGCGGAAACGTTTGGGCTTTTATTAAACTTTTGCACAAATTTTTAAGATTAAACGGAAAGAAACGACAGAAAATTAATTGCCTTTTGATTTCCTTTTTCTAGGTTATTGTCTCTCACTGTGGACTCCCACCATGGAATAATTTGATGACATCGTGACACGAACTTTAATTCTTTTAACAGGATTATGTAAAACAAGAGTGGTAATACAACAATGTTTTTGACTCCAAAAAGTCCACTAGGTTATCTTCTTCTATAAAGCTTTACCTGATGAGTGAAATGTGAAAATAAAACTCCAGAAAACCGTAGGGAATTTATTAGATAAGCTTCGAAAATCGTGCATGAATGGAATGTAATGATCTAGAGATTTTAAGCCGTCCGCAAGTTATAGAAAGTTCTAGACAAGAATTACCTCTTCGAACAGATGTTTTACCCTAAGAAGTTATTACATACCCCCAAACATTGCTTTTCAACTGTAGCAGCAGCCTAATGCCGTCAAAATGACGACTACAAATAGACCACTGCGTCGACCACTGCGACTACGGTGACCTGTCAACGACAGGTGCGATCACGACGACAGCGACGACGACCACGGCCACCACCACCCGTGCACTGCCATCAGTACGACTACGACCACAATCAACATCACGAAGGCAACTTCGACTACGACCACGTGGACAACACAACCACAAACATGACGAATTCAATAACGACGGCGGCGACCAGGACGACATTTTAACTAGACAGGACAGATACATAGACAAAATGCGAGAGAACACAACGACCAGGATGACATCGACCCGACGACAACTACAAAGACCACGACAAACCTATGGAAAACGGTGAAAACCACAACTATGGCGAATACTTGACCAT